TGGGTTTGCCCCCGTGCCCTGGGTGTGTCTGGGCTGTGGCTCTCTGTCATGGCCCTGTGCATGCTATCTGCATCTACAAGGGATGTACTGGTGCATAGGTCTGTCTCACCCCAAGTGCCCATGCCTTCATTCTGAGGCTATGCCACCATTAGGCTTTCTGTCTCATCATGTTCCACGGTCTTCCCTATCTAGAAAGTATTCAGCTAGTGAGCAGTAGGAGACGAAGCCTTACCCACTCTCTTTGGGCATATGACTTTTGTCTAGACAAGTCTGCTTGCCATGACAAGACTAACCTCCATAGACAGGGGTAAAGGAACTTGGCTGTCTTGGCTTGTTGCTCAGGGCTCTGCAGGGACTGAACCAACTCTGGGGCAGCCATTGCTAGGAAGCAGTGCATGTTTATGGCAGGTCACAATCCTTGAATAGAGGGCACCACCATAGGCTTTTGCCTATGACACTTTCACTTGAGAAAGTAGGTCCAGCTCAGTTATACAAAGTCAGCTGTGCCATAAAGTCTCTTAAGCTAAAAGGTCATGGAGCTGTAGAGCCTCCAAGTTCAATTCACCTATGAGGAAACTGGGCTTAGAGGGGAAGTGTCTTGCCTGAGGCCACAAGCCAACTCATCATTCATGATTTTCCCAATGCTTATCAAGCACTTAGCATGTCAGCACTGAGAAGAAGGACCAGAAGATCAAGTCATGAGTTCTGCTACCCACATCTAGTAGGGAGACAGTCATAGGAGCAGGAATTGACAGAACGCACCAAAATACATGGCAGAAAAAAGTGCCAAGAGCACTAGAAAAAAGTTAGGAGATACGATGACAGAAAAAGAGGCCAGAAAGAGTGAGAAAGATATGAAGATTCTATGCTGCTGGTTTTGAAGATGGTAGAATGAGCTGTGAGCCAAGGAATGTGGGTAGTTCTAGATAGCTGAAAGAGACAAGAAAAATGGATTCTCCCTATAGCCTCTACATGGAACACAGCCCTGCCAACACCTCAAGATTAGCCCAGTGAGACCGTTTCCAACTTCTGACTTCCAGAACTGTAAGAAAACAAATCTGCATCGTTTTATGCCACTAAGTTCATGGTTATTTGTTATAGGAGCTATGGGAAACTAATACAGAAAGGTTTTAGAGATAAAGGGAAACAGGACTGCACTCCATCAAAGGAGGCACAGCTGCCTATGTATGGTAAGAGCTCAGATGTTAGAAAACTAGAAGTCTGGGATGCTGGAGATGAGGGGTGTGGAGGAGTTAGATGAGGCCCATAGACCTTGGATCTTGGAGTGCTGACTCTGTGCCATACTGCAGGGGGTCAACTCTTGCTTCTCTACTTTCCCTCTGTGTGCCTCCATCCCTCTATACACCCAGCACTTTTCTCAACTTAAGACAGGACTGAAGATAATGACCTGTATAAAGTGTTTAATATAGAGCCCAGCATACAGTGAGTGCTCAATAAATGTCAGAGAATATCTCATCTCTATTCAAGCAACAAGAGCCCACAGGAGGCAGGGCTCAAGAGGTTAGCTGGCAGAGCAGAAAATGGATTCTCATTGTATTGGTACCCTGTGGCTTTTGTAGCATTCTGTGCTGCATCTTTCTCCAACTTCTTGACCTCAGGGGATGTTTCTGTGTTTCAAGAACTATTCAATACAGCCACATATGCAGGCAAGAAAAGCTCGTGGTTTTTCCTGGGATTTTCTGGGATGGCCAGACTTGAATCTAGAAGGACAGTTATGCCACATGGCATGAGTAGAGCACAAGCAGAGGCTACTGCCTGGATTGTGAGAGCAATATTGCATAACATGGGGCAGACGCTGATCAAGCTGAAAACCTAGGAGGCAGACACTCTTTCCCTTCTCACAGTCTCCATTCCTGGTAACCCAGCATCCTTATCTGATGGCCTCTTGGTTCCACACCTCACCATGGACTACCATCTCTGGCTTAGTCTGGGGACCTAGGCTTCACTTCTGTCTTCCTCACTATCAAAACCAGGACACAGAATCTGGGCATCTCTCAAGAGAAAAGGACACACTGCCTTCCCTTCTCCCAGCTGAGCAGCCACAGCTTCCAGGCACTTCTTTGCCCTGGCTTCTTAAGATGCCTTAAGTGAAATGGGTCATTTGGTGCTGTGATTTTAAGTTAATTGGGACCAGTACAGTTGTGTACCAGGCTCAGTGTTAGGTGTTTGGAGAAAAATGATAAATAAAACCTAGTCCCTGCCCTTGCATGTTCACAGCCAAATGGGCAAAAGACAAGGAAGGATATTTATCACTCTGTCTCAAACTAAACAGGTTTTCAAACTTGAAGTGATGACTGGATCAGCCCAAGGGTTGGGAAGGACCCTGTGACACACTTAAATGACACTGTTAAGCAGCTGTCTAGGTAGCCTATGCCTTGGGTTAAATGTGGCTTGGCCTTAGGCTTAGTGACCTCCTCTCCCTGCCAAGTACAGAGGCCCTGGTTCTGAGACACCTCAATCCTGGGAGCAGCTGTCTATTTGCAACTTGGCCTTCGATGACTTAAGTCATCTCTCTGAGCCTGAAGTAGCTCATCCATGAAATGGTTCCATGTGGCTTAAAGGAGACGAAGGGTAAAGTATAAAGAAAGGTACCAGCAAACAGTGGGTGTTTTACAAAAACCAGGACCAAATTCCTATCCCATGCTACAGTCAGCAAGAACCAAACAGGATAAAAGTCAGACCCTTCATTTCCCTTCTTGAAAATAAACCTTGGTCCTCCGGAACACTTCGTCTAATTGCTTATGGCCAGTGCTCTAAAATATAAAAGAAAGGAAGGCCAGAAATGATCCCCACACCTTTTAATTTTTTTAATTGGGGGTGCAGGAGACTCCAATTAGGGCAGTGGCGCCACAGAGAAGGAAACACAGCAGAAGGCCCCAAGGGCTGCCCTCCTGCTGAGAGAAAAGCCCCAAAGGGCACAGACAGCAAAGGGTTACCCTTCCATGCAAAGACCTACCCCCACTGTCACTCCATATTAAAGGGCCAGGCGCCAGAGGACAAGCTGGACAGTGACAGCTGCTTTCATTAACGGTTTATTCCCCTAATTTTTCTCTCTTTTGGCCTCAGTTAAAAAAAGAAACAAGAAACAGAAAGCAATGAAGACAGCCATCAAGATTAGGCCAGGACTCCTACATCAAGGCAGGCAGGCTGTTCTGATCTTACCTGTTCTTGTTCTACTCTGAGTACCCCAACTCCCTTGTCTTGTTGACATGGCATCAGGTCCTCACCTGCCTACTGAGTTACCCAGTCCATGTGTCCATTCAGCCCCACACTACACTGTTGCCGGCACATTTGACCTGGCTGTGCACGCAGCAAGAATATGATGTCTTTGGGAACAAGGGCTGAGCCCTATTCATCCCAATGCCTTCAAGAGAAGGTTCCCTACAGTGACCTTAAGAAAGGTTAGATCAGGCTGGAGGCATGGCTCAAGCAGCAAAACACCTGCTTAACAAGTATGAAGCCCTGAGTTCAAACCTCAGTGCCACCAAACCAAAAAAAAGAAAGAACAAAAAGGAAAAAAAATGGTTAGATCAAGGCCACATGTGGAGGCCCACACGTGCAATCCCAGCTACTCAGAGGATCAGGGTTCAAAGCCAGGCTGAGAAAAAGTTAGCAAGACTCCATCTCAACCAGTATCTGGGCATAGTGGTACATGGCTGTTAGACTGGCTATACAGGGAAGCACAAATAGAAAATAGGTAGGATTGCAATTCAGGCCAGCCTAGGCAAAACCACTAGACCCTATCCCCAAAATAACAGAAGCAAAACGGGCTAGAGATGTGGCTTAAGTGGTAGAGCACCTGCCTAATAAATGTGAGGCCTTAAGTTCAACCCCTAGTATGGCAAAAAGAAAAGGAAAGGTTAAATCAACTCAGTGATTCTGGCTATTTACTTATTAAGTGTATATTTGTTCCCTCTGAACAGGGACCTGAGAGGCCTTGGCAAAACAGGGAGAGTAACAGATGTTCATAGAGTCTGCCCTTCTGAAAGGAGATGCAGAGTTAGCAAGTGCTATCACAGAGGAACAGAAAAGGTTACTGTGGCAAAACAGAAGACAGCAGTCAGGCTTAGAAACCTGGGCTGCAGAGGCAGAAGGTGCAGATCTCTGCTATTCTAATCCTTCCTGTGAATGAGCAGGGATAAAGCCGACAGCAATACAGCCTACATGTGTACTGTTTAAACATCCCGCCACCATTGTTCTCAGGGCCTCCTGCTGGACTGGGCTGAGCTCCTCAGAGGGCCAAGGGAGGCACAATGTCAAAGCAGGCCAGCTGCGCTGCTGCATAATAAGCCCCCTCAAAACCGTGGGCAGGAGGGAAAAGGGAAGTTTACTGATGGAGGCTCAGACAGCCTCCTATGTATCCCCCTGGGAGTCAGGATGAAGGATATGAAAGGGGAACTCATTTACTGTGGGAGATCCCCATATGGCTCATCCCAAGTTCAGTCTCCAGTGAACTGTACGAGGCCCCGGGGCTGCGGAGGGCTCAGCCTTCAGCAAACCTCCTCTTTTCTGGCCAACACAGACCATGGGCCCCAGAGGTCATGGAGGCAAGGAAGGGTGGAGGAAGGCATTTTCTAAGAAGCAGACAAGGTCCACTGAATAATAAGCATCCACCAGAGCAGCATGGGAGCAGTCTGTGAGTCAGGAGACTCCACCTCTGCCACTCACTTCACATATGACTTTGGGCAACTTTCTGGTCTGACTGTCCTCATATATGGAGAAACTTGGGCAAAACCTAAAGTCTCTTTCACTTGCAACATTCCTGAGCCCAAACCTTCTGTGTTCATGGACAAGAGGATTTCAGACTCTACTGGAAAGAAGCAGGAGCTCCTCTCATTTACTGAGGGTCCCTGGTGGCCACTTTGACACCAAGAAGAGAGCAAGAATGAGGCTCCCTGGCTTTAGGCACTGAACTGGAAACTTTTAACAAGCAATAGTGGAGAGCTCTGCTGGCATGCTGAGGACAAGAGGCTACTTACTATGCAGCAGGCCACCAGGGCTCCTTGAACAAATCCTGCCAGGACATCGCCGGGATGGTGCTTGTGGTCAGATATGCGGGACAGTCCTGTGTAGAAGGACATCATGATCAAGGTGAACTGCAGAAGGGGCCTGAGCAGGCGGGCACCTCTCCAGGTGAAGCGGGCCTGCAGGTACAGCTGGAGGGAGGAGACAAAATGAACAGTCAATGACTCCCATTCACAGGTACCATAACACCAAGTCAGCATGCACTAATTTCTGCTAAGTGGAGCCTCCCAGACCTTGGGGGCCATGTTGTAGATTCAGCATCCAATTCGGACATGACCTCAAGCCAATCAACTGCTGAGCTTTAGTTTTCATACCAAAAAAAGTAAGAAAACCAGATTTTGTCTAGGGAGATAAAACTAGGGAGAACTGAGAATAATGCATGTAATTGGTTCTCACTGTTTGGCATACAGTAGGCACTTTATAATAAACACTACTTTCCTTTTAGCTTCTTGATTAAGACTGTAAGAGAACAATAACCAGGAGCAGTAAAGGCTTTGTTCTACAATTAATAACAGTAACTTCACATATTTATGAGCCTCCCTGGGGATTACAGTTGTACAATCCCTATACTACCTGCCTCTTGCCATTGCCACAAAAATAAAATACACAATGTAGGGGGGGTTGCTTAACATGGTATTCGCAAGGGGATTCTTCTACTTCAGAAGGAAGCAACTCTATCCAGGTCAAGTCCCTAAATCATCATTAGGAACGCTGGATTTTGAATTCACATGTAAGGAAACACAAAAACTAGTCAGACAATGCCAAAGAACTTTCAAGGAGAGGTTGACAGACACTGCACTGGGTGGGGTAGAAGAGTAACCTGGAGAAAAATGGAAGAAAAAAAAAACCCTGCCTCTGGCCGAAGGAAAGAAGTTGAAATGACGTCAACTGGGTATTGTCCCCTCAGAGTTATCTTGCTGGAGTTTCCGTTCTAACCTCTGGGCACAACCTACTTTGCAGGTTCCTGTGGGAACTTGGGAAATGAGGGGGAAGAGACAAGGGGACGAGGGGGAACTTCCGACTACAAATCAAAGCACTGGGAGAGGCCAGGAGAAAAGGGAAGAGCAAAGGGAGGGGCTGCTGGCTGCAAGATTGACCGGTGGCAGTAGCAAGCAGGACCCTGCCCTTCCTGAGACAAATGGACACCTTCCTTTTGGTGGTCAGGAAACGTATGCCCAACAACCAGGCCTGCAGGGACAGTGAGTGGAAGATCCCAGAGATGCCCTGGGCCGGGTAGGAGCAGTACCTATGACTGAATCCTCAACGACATGGAAATTATTTCAAAAGACCCATGCCTGGAAAACAGCAGTTGACTTTACATCATTTTGAAATTATATGAGTGTAGCACTGGAAATCTAAGAATAACAAGTGAAAAACTGGTAAGATACTGCATTAATGTCTTTGGTTTCTAAACAAAGGTTGAAAATCTATGGCTTCTTCATATGTCAATAATAACCAGCTAAAAATCCAAAAGAAACAATAGAATCATCATTCTGACAACAAAGATGATTAAGTAAATAGTAAGTAACTTACCAAGAGCTGCACAGAACCTTCTTGAAGTAAGGCACATAAATGACAAATTGAATAGACAGAGCCAGAGCTTTTACTTATTATTTACTATTTTTTTTTACTTATTTATTAATCTATTTGAGACAGGATCTCTCTATGTAGCCCACAGGCTGGCATTGAACTTTTAAATTCAAAACTTAATATGTAAATTCAATGAGATTCCCATGGATATTCTGGGAGAGAGAGAGAGAGAACCAGCCAGATTCTATGAGAGGTGCTAAGGACACAGAAATGAGAAATTCTACCTACCACCCTGTGTGATACAAATAAGCATACCAACAAGTTTTATAACAGTTGTGAAAGAAGTTGTAGGGCCAGGGTCAATTACTAAGGGGAAAGGATATTGGACTTGAACCCTAAAAATGAATGGGTATCTGCTGGGAGTTAAGGGAGAATGGTGAGGGGTGAGGATTCCCAACAGAGGGATGGCACAGAAACCTACATTAGTGTTCCCAGGAACCTTAAATAGTTGAGCACAGCTGGAGAAGAGTATATGGTGGAGAAATACAGAGACAAGTAGGGCCAGTTCATGAGGCTTTGGTTGTCAAACTGAGGAACCTATTCTTTATCTGTATGTAGGACCAGCTTCCCAAACTGTATCCCAAGGAACACAAGAGTCTTCTTAAAAAAAAAAAAAAGAAAGACTGACAAATGCTCTATACTAATCCCTATTTCTTCACTTACAGTAATTATAAGATTACTAAAGGCTCTGAAATCACTATTTTTGCAGAATACCTGCTTACTGAATCACACTGGAAAATAATACTGCAAGCAATGGTGAAAAATTAAATGAGTTTAAGTGGCACTGAGCACCATAAAAACTAATCTGGATGCTTTTAAGGGCTCTACGCATGGCAGGGTAACTACGGGCATTATGAAAAGTCACAGACTTGGGAGGTACAAGCCAAAGGCTACTCTCTCCTTTTTGCTGAAATCCCTGTAGCAGACTTGGTCCCCTTGGACCAAAAAGATCCCTCTGGGGTTGGAGGCATGCTTCAAGCAATAGAGCACCTACCTAGCAAGCATGAAGCCCTGAATTCAAACTCCAGTACTGAAAAGAAAAAAAAAAGAGATCCCTCCCTTTCGAAAGTGGAATGGAAATAATGTTAGTCTAGCTCCAGCTTAACGCAAATCTTTAGAACAATGACAATTTCTGGGAAGAAAGGCCAGTCCATGTGTAGTTTGGCCTTCTTGCTACTCTCAGCAGTAGACATGTGTGGGATGGAAAACCGAAAGAGCAGAAGTTTTTGTCAGAAAGCTCTCACTGAGCCTGTGTCACAACTACAATCTTATAGACTGTGCTCCAGATTGGTTGATCATATGGATAGAAGACAAAGCACAATGTGCAACTTGATAATTGATGATTTTATTCTTTTATCACTTAAAGTAGCCCCAAGATTTTCCTATTTCCCTCACTGAAAAAGCTGCAGGTTCCCAGAAAAATGCTTGTTTGAAGTCCTCCTGCTCTTCTCCTCGAATGCTGCATGCAGACTTCCAATGGCAGACATTGGAGAGACCAGGGTGTACCAGAGGAAGGGTGGGTCTCCCAACTGGACAAGGCCCAAATCTCCCTGCCACTGACTCAGTCTTTAGACTGGAGTTCATAAAAGAAAACCCTCACCCAGGAGAGGAACTCAGGAGGGAGGAAGAGACCAGGCATCAGAATAACTCCAGGAAGGGAGGAAGGGAGTGCTTATGAATGAGAAAGGAGTAGGGGCCATGGGAAAATAATTCCTTTGGGAAGCACTCAACTGGGAATGGCAGTTAGCAGATGCAGCTTGCTCCCCATATTTACCAGGAACTAACAGCAATGGCTTGGGGTCAGGACTGATCCTACCTTAATCAATGAGACTTATTCAATGATCATGGAGATTTCACCAAAACAAGTAAATTACTTAAAGAAGGAGATTGGGCAGTGACCTTCCACCCAGTGGTTACATCTGCCTTGAAAGGCAGTTGGGGGGTTTTGAGGCTGATCATAGGATCCGGTAATGCCCTCCATTTATGTTAATCTCACTGCTAACTAGAAGTGATCTTTCAGTCACAAGAGCCACTCTAGGATGGTGGTTCGGACCTCAAGAGAATCCCTGAGGATATTTTGTAGCCTAGAGACAGTAAGGAACTCTGGAAGCTCCATTTTTTCCCAACCCAAGAGGGCAGATACACTTTCCTCAAGAGAGGAAGTTGCACCCCAAAAATGCTGGTTAGGAAAAGAGTAAGCAGAACTGGACAAAAACAGAAAGCCCAAGTCACCCTGATCTCCTGTAATCTGTTCTTGACACTTGGCCCATGTTACTTCTCCAGCTTTGTGAAGGCCTCTGGGCCAAGAATCAGTGCTCTCTGAGTCCACTTCATAAACATTACTGGGCCAAGCCAGAAAGGGTGAGATGTGCAGTACCAGCAACTAGATTGGAATCCATTGCTATCTACCTGCTGTATGGCCCTGGACAAGTCATTCTACATCTCTAACTTTCTATTCTCTCATGTACAGCATAAGATTTGTTTACTTTAAAAAGTTTTGCAAGCATCTATTATGTTGAAAACTAGGAAAGACACTTATGAATGAAATAAGTTCTGTCACTAAAAAAGATACTCTCACAGTCCTTTTCTAGGATTTTGCTTTCAGTTGTTAAAATAGAAGGGTTCATTGTGATGAAGATCACAACAAAACCCATTCCCCCAAATGAGCTCCTAGCTTCAGAACTGGGGTCCTGCAGAATTGGGAATTCCAACAAACCCTCCTTCGACTGAATTCCAGCAAGCTGCTGCTCTGGTCAGAAGTGTGTGAGTCACACTGTCATTCTTGCTAAGTCATTTGTGTTGCATTACATGTTTTGCATTCTGGTAAAACAGGTCTGTTCTGTCCTCTTACTTCATTTCCATTGCTCTTGGGACAGGTGGGCTAAGAGGGAAAAGGAGGCTTTTGTTCTTGCTGATGTCCCTGGAAGCTGGTCCAGATCCCCCACACCCATAGTGACGTTCTCCCTTCTCCAGTCTCCTCCAAGGCGCCAATCTGGCTCTTGTTCTTCTGCCTGGTGGCAGGGGAACATGATGATGAACTAGAATTTCTCCCTATGAAGTTATTTAACTGCTTTGAGTATAAAACAAGAATTTTTATTTGACTTTTCTCTTCCTTGTCAGAAAATCAAATCTTTTTCCATCACTGTCAGGAAGGGAAGGAAACTACTCTTTTGCTGAGTACTGTCCTAGATATGATGCTAGATGCTTTAAGTTACATTAAATTACATTGTTGGGCGCTAGTGACTCACGCCTGTAATCCTAGCTACTCAGGAGGCAGAGATCAGGAGGATTGAGGTCAAAGCCAGCCTGGGCAAATAGTTCTCGAGACCCTATCTTAAAAATACCCATCACAAAAATGGGCTGGTGGAGTGGCTCAAGGTGTAGGCCCTGAGTTCAAACCCCAGTACTGAAAAAAAAAAAAAAAAACAATACCTGCAACTGTCACAATCATCCTGTTAGGTGGACACTGCTATGCTCACCTTACAAATGAAAAGATGAAGGCAAAAAGAGGCCAAGGTACTTGCTCAAGGTAACAGAGAGC